GGCAGCAGCACAAGACAGCCGTAGCAACCTCCGAAAACCGGCCCGGCAAAGAAATGTCTGTCCGCTTACTGACGGGACCAGCAGCGCTTAGAAATACCTTTTCAGCTCTTTGGTCTACGACTCACGTTTTTCGTTTTCCTTTCTGTTCTTTTACTCGTTTTCGCGCGCACCTTGTTTTCCTCCCGGTAGCGGCTGAGCAGCCTTTGGCGCTGAGGAGAAGCAGCCTGCCTCCAGGTACCTTCACCCCGCCCGCCGCTAAAATAGTCAGCGGAGTTGGCGCCAATGAGTTCAGAGACCCATTAAAACCCCATTAAAAACCGGTTTTCCAGTAAAGGTCAGCGAGGAGAACTCTTCCCTGAGAGTTAGGAAGCATTCTGCAGACAAGACAAACATTAGGTAAAATTTGAATTGTATGGAAATAAGCATCCCTGCTACCACAAAACACTCCAGCTTTTGGGCTTCGTTTTTTTAAAAAAATGCACAATATATATATATTACAATATATATATTGTAAGATCTTACAGAACCCACATTTATTAGACCATAAAAACACAAGTTACAAAAATTCAGTGGGGCTTAGGCCTGAACAACCTTCTTGAAAATCAATCCCCTTCTCTTGGAAACTGCCATGCAGTCCCCCCCGAGGGACACGCAGGGGACCCCAGCCCACAGGAGGCACAGCACGGCGGTGTGCACGCGGCTGTCCCTCTGCTGCTCGACAGGCCCTGGAAAGCCACCTTCATTTACGTGCACCTCGCAGCCAGCACTGCTCCCCCGGAAATCACAGCGGCGAAAAGAACTTTCTATCAATAGCTAGGATTACAGGGGAATTGCCCAAAATCAACAGGTTTGGAAACAAGATTTTCCCCAAATGCTGAAAATTTACACAGCAAGGTTCAGGCAGTACCTAATTTTAAACAGGTATATTTTGTATTTATTGGGGATCAATAAAATGTAACTTTTGTTAAAATGGAGCAACTGCGCTCGGGCTTATTAAATATCACTCTATAGGCACTGACAGCCAGGCAAGAACACGAGTATTACCACGTTTAGCTTTTCTCTAAGTATTATTATTGTACTGCAGTTCACTAATGCTTTGCAGTAAGTGTTACCAGAAAGCAACTCAATTATACCATGCATCTTGTTATTAACTGGTGCAGTTGCTACGTTGCTTTCGGGAAGGGGGGGGGGGGGGTATTAAACAAATTAAACACGCCAGCCTGCTTAGACAGAAGCCTGCTTATATAGAAGACACCCTCTAAGCAGAGAAATACCTTGCCTTACAATTATATTTCCTCAGCAAGTCAAGCTAACTCCTACTCTGTGGGTGTAATTTTTAATATTTTTTTTAGCTCTTTAGCTGATCTTTAATTTTTCTATTTAAAAATCAAGTACCACACTCTCTTGATCAAAGGAAAATAATCTTTTTATGAGGTTTTGACATGAATCTCCTATAGCAACTGACAGATTTAAGTAGCAAGCTGTCACCACCTGAAAGCCACGCATTTTTTTTTTTTCAGCCTTAACACAACTGATAGCAACTACTGTAACTCCAAAGACATTTTACATCCTTCTAGTTCCTTATACGAAGTGAAAAGATGTCTACCATTTTCTTGGCATAAATTGCTCATATTTTAGGCCGAGATTTGAAACACAACCACAGATTACCTCACAAGACTTTTTACCATCTACATTATCAGATAAAGCCATTGTTATAATCTATTATCACCATTTTAAACTTCTTACAAATATTGTATTCTACCATGTACAGGATCCAGGATGTACATATACACACACTATGGATAATCAAGCAATATGATACTAAGACCAGATAGAAATCACTCGCAACTACAGATCTGGATCACCTTCAAGGATCTTCGTAAACTAGAATTCACTTCGAGTGCCAGATGCAGGTACATTTTTGTATAGGTAAACTTGTCACTTCCTTTTCATGCACTCAACTAATAATTACTTTCTTCAGGCAACGAGGGCTAAAGTAATATTCAGAAAATGAAGTATCACCAATGGAATTTACACTTCCAGTGACAACTAAGTGGTTTTAATACATTTAAGTGAACCCTATGAAATTAAAATAGCAGCATTATATGGACTAGTAAGTCTCAACACAACAGCAGCCAGTAGTATTTTAATTACATCCATTTGTCTTGGACAATACTACTGCAGATGCTAGTTCTCATATAATTTGCCACTTAAAAATGGTACCACAGAAACACCTTTATAGTCTATGAAGTTGTCATAACTAAGTCTGAAACAAATTCAAGTATGTCCTAACTTTGGAGAAATACTGCTTTCAAACAAGAGTCTCACTGTTTCCATAGTGAATTGCAAAGCTGTAAGCTATTTACTATTACTTTAGTGGCTACGTATGAGGTAATTTTATTAGTCATCTGGTAATAACAAGATTCACAGGTAGAAAAAATGTTGAAACTGGACTTAAGCCTACCCAAAAGTATACTGCTAAGTACTTTTATTTTCCCTTTGAACAGCACTTAAAAGCCAGTGCTTTTTCATCTCCTGCTTACGTGCTACCATCACCAAACTAGTAGATAGAAAATAACTACCAGAAATTCAGGTTGAGAAATTCATAACTCAACAATAAAAGCATGCTTAAAGGTAATTATTTCATTCTCTGCACCTGTTAAGAAGTCAGTTCCCTCAGGGAGGTATTTAAAAACAACAGGAGTTATATCTGGTTTAAGAGGCTGAATTACTTTTTTTTTTTTCCTCCTTCTGGCAAATAAAGACAAAACCCTTAAAATAAGCACCACCAGGCTGGGCTGAAATTAGTATGATAGTACACACCTGTAACCTCAGGTATTTGGCATGAGCTGATTGGACTGACACAGGAACAAACTCAATTAAAAAAAGCATGTACTGTAAACACACTGCATACAAATAAGCCATGTAAGCCAATGCAGAACAATGAAGAAATTACATTATTAAAAGTTTTTATTTAGGTTTGGTCAGTACAGGTAAGATAATATTGGAGTCACAGAGCAATATGCATAAACAGGATACAACAGTTCTTAAAAACTGAGTAACTATGCACACAATTCATAAACATTCGGTCACCTAAGGAGAAAATGCACAGATGTATGGTGGGAAAAACTGTAATTAACACTGAAACTACTACAGGACTCCTTCAGTAAGTCCATCTTTTAGTGATAAAACTACTGTACTGGGCAAACTTGGCAGTCAAACCCACAGCTATTACGACAAATCTTGAAGGTGGTGTAAGTAGAACAGTATGAGTAAGAATGCCCTTACACAGCACAGGTTCTAGATATACACAGATTTGTACAGACATCATTTATGTTATACTTTATGGAAATAATTTCCATATCAACTTCACATTAACTCATATAAAAATAACTTGAGCTACACAAACGTCCTTTTAGCAACATTCAACGTAATTAACTGTTAAAATTTTCAAAGTGGCAGAGGTATTGAAGCAAAAAGAAACCCACAAAAAGGCAAAATCGTGACAAGTATGCACTAATTTAAACAGCTTCTGGACAGTATCCTCTCCCAATTTAAATGACACTGTATAAAAATGTTGCAGAAAAATGTTACAAAACTGAACCCTGCACATTTACACTGGAGTCCAAACCATTCTGGACATGACGAGAACCCACAGTTCTGTTACCTTTCATGCTCACCGTTTTCTCCTCTTGAGGATCATGATTGGAGTCTGTGTCATTTGAGTGGTGAGTGAGAGAGTTTTCACTGCCAGTGGGAGAGTCTACACTTTCATACCCAGTACTGAGCTGGTTTATGTAGCTACCACCTCCTCTACCAGTTCTATCTTCAGAGTGGTTGGACAGCTTATTACCATTCCCTGGAGAAGCCGGGAAGTCATCTTCCGTGCCGCTACCCTCCCTATAAAATCCAGGCCCAGACGTCCGCTGATGGGAGGAGCTGCCATTGCTTGGTCCGTTTGCCAGGCGGCTGCAGTCTTTACCCACAGCCTCTCCCTGGTCTGTAGGCTCAGAAGATGGAGTCCTGCTGGTCCCTGGGTTGGAGGCCTGGGACTGCTGCTGCTGGTACTGCGCCAACTGCTGGCGAGTCTCCTTCAATTGCTGCTGAAGAACTAGAATGGTACTCTGCATACCCTCTACCTCCTCATCAAGCTGGATGATGAAGTCATTCAATTCTATATAAAGAAAACACATTTGTTGCAAATACTTAATAGCCCATATATAGCTTGAATTTTAAGACAAAAAAAATCAAAATCCCATAACTCAGTATTTTATGCTGAAATCTTTCAAACTATGTTTCAGCCATCAAGTATGCACTGGTTTTGATACTCTGCCTCTGAAGGAGGAAATGCTTCACTACCATCTACACACTTCTTATACTGCTACTCAGAATATATGAGAAGAAATTAGTTTCTGGGCAAGAAAGATAGATATTTGGAAAGCAGCTCAATTCCAACAATTAACATTTTGCAAGTAAATCCTCATGTATCTACTTTTACTCAAGTATAAAAACCTTAGCAGAAATACTGCAAAAGTCACCATGAACCACATCTGCATATAACAGACCCGAATAGTTTAAAAAGCCTATTCAGTGACCAACAAAGATTTAATCACATTACAAGGGAATTTCATCTCTTACTGTTCTTAATCCTTTATACCCTGCGTAACAGGATACTAAAAGACTTTCTTACCAACAAAACTTGCCTAATTCTACAGAATGTTTCATTACTCGTGTACCAAGAAAAAGAATTTTTACAGTTAGATTGCACTTTCGAGCAAAACAAATTTTACCTGAAAACAGTAAAAGAAACACCGAATCCCTTAGTCTTTAATTCAACTTTATCATTGATATGATGGAGCAAATAAAATGCAAACTGCGTATTACTGTAAAAATTCATAAAGTGTTCTTTATGCTATGGAAAAAAATATTATGAAAACTGCTACCGCAGGATTATTATAGTCTTTGTTCATACAGGGAAGAAGCAACAGGGACTAAGAACACACTTCAGTTCTGGAGCTTACTTTACGATACTGCACACAAGAGCAGAAAACTTTAAAGAATATCCATGCTTGCTTCAGTTATGAACTCCTTAAGTTCAGATGAAGTGCATTATCTAAATGGCAGTTAAGCAGCAGAAGGGTAACTACTCCAACAACATGTAACTACAGAAAGAATAATTTACCTTAAGACTGCTAGTTATTACATATTATTTTATACCACTACTATCTCAAAAATATGATCCAGGGCAGGGGGGATCTATCCTTAAAAATCAGACTTCGATAATGCCAGATCAAGTCTATGCTACCTTACAGACTGCAGCTGTAAAACAAAAACATGTCCAAGTTTGTGTCCAAATAGCTTGTGTCCCAAGACTTACCGTAATAATCAGATAACCTACTCTGTAACATTCTACCAAAAAACCCCACTGATTCTACGCAGAACTCACAACTGAAGATTTTTTTTTTAAATTTGCATTTTCCCCCTCCATTTAAACTACACAAGAGGTCAGAGCTCACAGGTAATTTCAATTTAAGTTTACAATGATGTAAAATTTGTACTGTAAATGCAATAATGAGATATTTTTGTTCATCTGAGTTACCTAAGCAAAAAAATAACCCTATTCTTATTCTTAGGCGTTGTTAAAAAGTTGTTGATTTTTTTAAAAAAATAAATTCAAAATGAGTCAAGAGTTCACAAGAAGCATTCTGCTCTCAGGGCATGCTTAGCTTCATGCAACGTTAACAGCTTTCATCTTACCAATTCACCAAAAATGTGTGCAGTCTAAACATTCCCTATTAAATAGCAAGACCTACAGTATGGAGTCTGGCAATTTCAAATTCAAACACTGTATTACAGGAGTGCCAAATCCCACCAGTCTCCCAAAGTTAAGTTTAGTTTGGTTTTGTTTGTTTTTGGGGAGTTTTCTTTATTTTGTTGTTTTTTTTAAGTGAAGAGTACCAATAGTAAAGTCTTGCTTAACTGTCATATTTAAGACTTAAACTTGTCGTATTTTACTCAATACTGCCCTTTCATTCTGGCAAAGATGGTCTTTATGTGTATCATCAGGAAATTAAATGAGCAGAAGTGCAAAGCAACTTCCATTTTCTTAATAAAATCCCTTACCATCCTGACTGCTTTTAAGTTCCTCACTATATTTCTTCTGTAAAGCCAACTCTGCCTCAAGCTGTGCAATACGTCCTTGGGACAGCTGCCTTCCAAGCTCTTGATTCTCCTGGATAAGCATTCGACACTTCGCCATTAACTTTTTGCCCGTTTGGCTGCAAAGGAAAGAGCCATCTATCACAAAATGAATATAAAACCTTCAGTAATCTTCCGCAATCACAGTTACAGACAAAAAGGAGATGCAATTTCTGCATGTCACAATTCAAGGAACATTATGCCTCAACATAATTGTCATAGCAGAAAGTCTCCCTATAGTTACCACATGGTGTTCCAATGCCAGCTGATCTTCTGTCGCTGTCCCATAAAGTGGAAGGCAAGTTTTATTACTGCAAATACGAATAAGCACATTGTTCTTTTTTGATACCAACATCTGGATTATCAGTATGCACAATCCTACATGTGCTAATTCTTAATGGAGTTAAATATTTGATTAAAGATGTGCCTTGTAATTCAAAAGATCAAGTACTGATGAAAATTACACCTGTAAACTGAATTATCAAAAACCTTCATTTATTGTGCCAGTAAAATTTAATAATTAAATGTGGGTGAAGAGAAGAAAGTTTCTTGGGGGAAAATATTAAATTCCATGTTCATTTTTCATAGTGACATCCATTTTTCTTTAAGAACCTCAGACATTCTTTTAAATGCTGTCCAGGTATCCTTGGTTAAAAAAATTAGATGTCTACTTTTCAACTCAGTTTATATATTTGACAGTAATGTACACAGTTTGTTTCATGATTTCTATGGTCTGCTTTTCCTAAGCACATCTTACACCGTGAGGAAAAAAGTAAAATACAGTGAAGAATTGTCAGGAAATTAAGGAAGGAGTATATTATTAATCTACTTCCTTTAGAATCACAGATTCCAAATCACAAGTCATGATCATTAGGATGTCCAGTTTCTGAAAGAAACAGGAAAAAAATATTTTGAACTGACAAGATTTTCTTTACTAAATGGGTAACATCACACATCTTTAATCTTCACGATAAAAACTGCATTGTAAAGCATTATAGGAAGTAGTATGCAAATTAATATATAGGCAATACAGCTGACTCCGTAAGAGAGAAAAATTAACGTCTTTTAAGACTCCTGGTCTGCCAAGGTCAGGACAGCAACCACAAACCGTTCTCCTTTTGATAGGCTTTGCAACATAATGAAGCTGTCCTCTTTTCTACAGAAGCATAAGCTCTGCCAAAAAGAAAACCAACCCAAACTTGAATAGGTTTATTGTGAATTCAATGGCAGGACTTGCATTACTTTTCAAGACCAAGGAGGTCATTTAGTTTTTTTTGTTTGTTTGCTTTTAAACAAGCGACAAAGATTGAAAGAAGTTTTGAGGATTAAAAAAGAACAGGAAATTTCTGCTACAGTTCACAGCCACAGTTCTCTCCTGCAACCAAAATACCCAACCAAAAGAATTTAAAATAATCATCTCCTTATCAACTATCTTTTAAGCATTCAAGCCTTAGACAACTCTTAAGTTCTGCCAACTCTGCCCCATTTAACATTTTCCGACTGACTCTCCCAAATCTTTCAGATGGGCTGCTCCAGAAGGAATCTGGCTGTGTAAAGTCCTGGAAGCCTGAAACTCTGCTAAAGGCAGCAACCTGTTTTCTTTCTTGATGTGATGTCCAATGTCAGGTCCTTGAAGTTTAAATTGTGCTGACCTAATACAGTCCAAGTCGCACACTTAAGATGCAAGTTTCCTTAGAGATGTTCATTCTGTGTAAAGCAGGACCACTTTGGAGATAACCAATGTGACATATCCCAAAAGTTATTAGGCAGACATGCAATGATTTTAGCCATTTCCAAATTCCTGTTACTGTATTCATCATCGCTACAAGCTGAAGAAGTTCACAGTGCTTAAGTCGTTTAATGCTTTTCTCTTCACAAAACAACGTCAACTGTAGAATTATGAAGTACCAGTTACCTTGAAATGGGGACAATTTTAGAATCCCATTAATTTCTTCATGTTAACTCCTGCCAAAATGTAAAATATTTATTACCTGTATAGAAATTTGCATAGTTACCTATAATGCTATTTCTTTCCATCAAAATTTTTCCAGATGTTCTGAACTAGTACAGCACCAAGCAATCTCCTCTTGCAATTTACAAAAAAGACAACACATGCAAGAACACAAAATCCAGTAACTATTAAAATAACTCCTATTAGCTGTAAAACTAAGTTTGGCATTGTTTTCATAAATCCTCTTGAATATACATGCAACAGAACCTGTAAGAATGTAAGTGGTTAAATTTCAGAAGACTAGTGTTTTGTTGTATGAGGCTTACTGCAAATGGTATTTCTACTAATTTTTAATCCAAGTGCATAGCCTCTGTTTAATGATGGTTGAAATAGCTTAGCATAGCCATTCCTTTGATGACATGCCCTTTTGTTTCCCCCTCCAGACATCAGCAATGATTATGCTGTACACCCTTATCTATGGTTAAGGCCCAGAACTAATACCACTTAGGGTTGCAGTTAACATGTTACCCTAAGTCGACCAGCTATGGATCTGAACAGGAGCACTATCTCTTTCAAAAACTAGGCCAGATGTCGTGAAGTAAGATAGCTGCATACAAGGATGGACCATAAAAGCAGCTGGGGGGTGGGTGGGACAGGACACGACACGGGACACCCAGGATGCAAAGAGACTGAAAAATCCTATAAATACTTTATATGAGTCATCATTTCTTTACCTTTCCAGAAACAAAAATCAGTAAAATCTTAACCCAGTTAACGAAGAGAGCCTCAATAATTTACCAGGAAATAACTCTGATTTTCTGTATTCCAGCTACTGCATATATGAATTGTGCACATTCACACCACTAACTTAAATTATATGATGCATATTAGCGTATGCTGTAGCTACAGAAATAACAGAATTGTCTTTCAATACTTTTGCTTGAAAGAAAGTGGCAAGTTACTTGTCTCTCCTCAGTTGTACACACACATTTAGAGCCTGAGGACTTAAGAGAACAACCAACCTGTATCTAAATGTATTAAATAATTTTCTGAACTCCCGAGTTAAAAAAGCAATCTGCACAGCATTCCTCATTATAGTGAGCTTTACAAATGGCTTGGTAACACGTTAACAATTTATTAATGCAAGTCTTACCTCTGTTTTGATGCTAGATCATTAAAATCTTATATACTGCTATAGCAAAATCATTCCAGATGTATCAGTTTTAAAAATGTAAAGTTTTTCTGTAGGTATTTCTTTTGCTGTTAAGTCATTACTCATGAAAAAAAAAATAATCCTGCATAAGTACACTACTCTTCGATCCCGTATCATCTGAAGCACAACAGTTAGGACACTCCCGAGATAAAAAATATGTAATATCTTAATAAAAGTCATCAAAACAGTTCAAATACATCGCCTTCTGTGACAGCTGGATGTCTTTTTTTTTTTAATTTAAAACTGAATCTTCTAGGATCAGACTGAGTCATAAAATGTTGCCCAACTCTTTTGAAAAATCAAAACCTCACAATTACCGAAATCAAACTCAGTTTGCTACGGGGAAAAAAACCACACACAAATGCTATACCAAATCTGCATTTCGCTTTACACACCTCAGACATGCACTCCCAACTGTTCCGGATCGCTACTCTTACAAGTAACTTAGGACAACAGAACAGATGCATCAATAGAGCAGCAAAGGGTCCTTCACTGATTCCACCAAGGAAAATGCATGCATTTAAGGTTTTTCTGGTTTGTTAAAATACTGACTTTGTTTTCAGAGAACGAGACAATGTAGAAATAACAACCTGTTCAATTCTCGTTCATCCCATGAGTTTCACAATACAACAGTATAACCAGCAGTGTTCCTTGAACTATATATTACAACTATTTCAAGGCACATTTTATATAGAAGTGCAATACAAAAAACCCAGGTGTACAAAGGAATAAAAACACCCCACCAACACTGAAGACAGGTGCCATTGTGTGCCTTCTGTATTGAGCACTTGAGATCAGTTCTTAGTATAGAAGATCGAAAAAGTCTCATTTCTGCATGAAAACATGCAGTGAAATACTTATCACAACCAGTTTTTCTTATACACGCTAGTTGTGATCAAATATATATTGCTTCCAACAATTTTCAACCTGCAATTAGATAGAACGTACATTTTCGTACAGTCCTAATTGAGGCGTCCACAGTTATTACCAACCATCCAGAAAACAGTTCATTATTTAGCAACATTGACTTAAGGCTCCATCAAGTGCTAGAGAGCCCAAAGGCTAAACAGTCAAATGTGTACACTACCACTGTTGCGATATCAAATGGCACTCTCATGGCTATTCGAAACTGGTTAGCAAGTAAACTCTTTAATGCAAAATTCACCTCATTGAGTTTTGACCCAGCAGTTCAGTGAACAAGCAGGAAGTCCACAGTCTTATTGGCAAAACTGACTTACAGTGTCTCTAAGTCACTAGGCTCAAGGTTAAGAGCGAAGCATATTCCACTTCTACATTTTACGGGAATTTTACATGTTCAATTCATGATTTATAATCTCTAGGTTCTCTCTCCTCCAAACTGTCTGTAGACACAGTGTGCCACAGACTTAAGACTTCTGTTTCTCCCTCTATTTTCTTCAAATAGAACAATTCTGCAAATGTCTACATGTTCTAGAAAAATTTTTTTTTTCCCCGAAGATGGCCATTTCTTCAGAATAGTCCGACGCCGTCAGGCCTCTGAAGCAAAGGGGGAGAAAAAAGCTGAAACACAAGGTTCATCTGGTAAGTTTTACATTAAGCATTACAAGCTGGACAGTATAAGAATGTGGCTTTTGCCTCAAAACGTCTGAGTCTTGGTGTGGAAACGAGTACTTGGCTGTCCCACCATAGCATTCTCGTAGTGGGACTGTCAGGGAAGTCTTGACTGGGGAGTATTTGTTTTGTTTACCTATCAGGCGTAAATTTCCAGGCACTCAGTTCATTTTGGGCTTGTTCCAGTTTGTCTTTAGTCTGTTCCAGTTCACCTTTCATTTTTAGGAAAAACAAGTTGATGGCTGGGTCCACCATTGTTGATCGCAGTTGGGCAACACTAGGCTGCTGGACTTGCTTGAGGTACTGAATCTGATTCTGCATAAAGTAAGAAACAAGGCTGTTATTTATACAGTATTAATTAAAAATTTAAAGGAATTTAGATAACAATACAAAGTTATTCCAAAGATAATGTCAAGGAAGCTTGCCTTTTTTCATCACTGCACCCTCAAAAAGGCAGGATAAAAATCACTTTTGCCTACCTGTGCATATTCACCCAATCCCCCATCCCACCCTCCTGCCAAGCCTAAACTTGCAAGGCCAATTTTTTCTCCCTTTTTCTGCTTCAAATTGTTTTCTGCATGTCAGTTTACATTTGCCAAAGCATTGATTGGAGCATTGTAATTCTCCCTTTCTTTTACATCTCCCTGCACTCTTTGGGGGGGTGGAGGGGGGAAGAGTACACAGAGTTATCTACTTAAAACAACTAATTTCCATGTAACCTCAGTGAAAGTTATTGTGGAACATTACAGCCAATGTTAACAAGTAATATTTTTAAGCAACTACTAAACAGGTTTTTACAAACTTGCATGTCTTTTTGCAAGTGTAATAGTCACTTATCATGCAAGTTTGCACATTTATGTTTTAAACAAAATAATTTAGAAATATTAACATTAGTTGAACAGATTTTGGTTGTATTTGATTCTCTTGCAATAACCACAATCTGAAAGATTTACAATTTTATAATTTACAACCCAGAAGACCTACAATACAATCAAAATTTCAGGAGGAGTAACTGTGAGGGGATTTCTTTTAAATATAGCAATCATTAGTCAACACTGGTATGTATTTAAATAGGATTAACTTTTTTGAAAGTTTCTTATATTTTAATCCCGTCAAAACAATCTTAAAATGTACTAAACAGTACGGGTTTACAATCCAGCTAATCACTAAAATCACATCAGCCCACACAGAAAGTGTTCATTCTCAGGTTCAATTTATTATGCTCCCTGTAGCACACGTATTTCTTCATCAGCAAGAGGTGAACAAAATCACGAGATTAAAATATTAATTGAAAGTTGGGGGGGTGGGGTGTGCCTCCTGCTGCACACACCTTCTTGCAACCAGACTCAATAGCAACAGAGTTTCACTGAAACAGTACAAGGTATCACCAGCAAAATGAAAGGGAAAGGGAGGTAAGCAAGGGAAAGGAAAGGGAGTCTCCCTCCACACTTTCCTTTACTTAGGACAAGCAGCACAGTCAAAAGCACTGTCAGTTTAACTGTTTTCCTGTATATACAGGTCCTCTGTTACAGGGTCTTTACGCAGCAATGGTCAAGAGAAAGTTCAGTAATAACATTTTATTTACCTTAAAAATGTGCAGTAGTGACCTCAGTCACTTCCTGATTGAGGACAACATGTTTTTATTTATATATTGTTAAGCAGCACAATTCTTGGATTTTACTTCAGCTGAGTGATCTCAAACTTGTTGAAATAACTGAAATATTTCCATTGACTTCACATTAACTTGATATTATCAAAATAAAAATACTTAGCTACTTACAAAAAATTTTTGAAGTAACCATCATACTTTACATTATAAATAGATAAACCTTTATGTGTCCAGAAAGAAACATAACAGGAATAAAGCATCACATAAAAATATTTTCAAGAAATAAAGCACTCAAGAACCCGCCTACAAACATTACTTAGAAACAGGAAATCCAAATTAAGATTATCCTAACATTTCTTGGATGGCACTTTACCCCCCACAGGTCCTTTGTCTCACTGAATGCACAAAATGTTGCTCAATGAATAAGGATCTATTTAATTTATTGGTATTGATATATCTTTTCTATTCACTCAACTTTCCGATGCTTGCACTACTGGAAGTATTTCAACCACATGTCAATTCTTTGTGAAGGCTAGCGCTAGTAGAGAGTGGAAGAGCTCATTTAACAGATGTCTGTACACACACAGATACCCCATCTGGCAACGTATTCCACAAATATAATTATGCTATAGCAACTTGGTTACCCACCTATTTTTAGACAGGCATCAAGATGAAAAACTACCATGTTCCTTGTCTCACCTAGGCCCAGATCCCTCCCCTCCTCTACTGCCAGAAGTAAGAGCCGTAACAGTAGAAGTTGTCCAAAGACATCCACAATGAACAAATCCTTTGACATGAAGAATTTAACAAAACTGAATGCTTACATTTTCAGTTAAGCACCTGTAATCTAAATAAGTACAACTACATGTCCTTATAGAAAAGGAGGAAAGAAACTGCTAATGAGAAGACCAAAAAAACCCACAACAGAACTGTAACCTAAACCACAAGTAGGTTATTAAGAGTAATGACTATCTAGGTACTATAGTCCAACTGCACCCACAGGAAGCTTCCACTCCTTGCTATCTGTTCCATGGAAACCCTATTTGAGTAGCAAAGATTTCCAAATGCCTGTCCACTTACTGACCTGCAGTGGCTATGCAGGAGCTTCAGAGAGGGTTAAGCCCTTTCCCTGAAGTAGCAGTAACTTCATCATCACCTCTGTCAGAAATAAAGCTTTACGTAGAAACAGTAGCTAGTACCTTACCTGCACTTCCCTAACAGCAGCAACCTCTTTTAGGGAGTTTTTCCTGAGAGGGGAAAGGTACCTCAAGGCTGCTGCTGACAACAGGGCACATGAGGTATTAAACACCTGAATGTCAATCTAGCTCTTCAGTTAGCAACCCTAAACAACACGGAGTAAGTTTGCAAGACCAGCCAGACTCACAGTAAGCTCCCAGCTCAAAAGAAACCCATATATTCTGCTGCTAGACTCAGCACAGAGCATGAGAGAATGTACTCAACTACCATCTTGTTTCTTCAAAAAAAGTACTGAAACAGAATCAGGACAATGATACTGGTAGTGCTACTCTGACGTGCACATCTACACTTTCAAGACAATGACTGGTGACTTCTATAAGCTCAAGTAGGTTTTGTTGTGTTTAAACTTTTTAAAAGAAGGGTACAAATTAAAACATCAACTAAGACAAAGTCTATCACATCTCATTTTAAAACGGAGCTAGTATATTTCAACTAGCAAAGTTTTTTTACCACATCAGTAATCAGAAAACTTGTTTATGTTTTTGTCAACTACCACCATTTGAATGTGGTTCGGTGTTTTTAAGTTTTTACCCATTTAAATTTGCAAGACCTCAATGCAATAAGCTTTTAAGTATAAAACATGTCCCCAAAATACATTAAGAATAATATGAACAGTAAGTATTATATGGTAAATATTCATCTGTGGTTTTCAAGAAATGTGACACCACAGACAGTCTTTCCAATTAAGATGTTACAGGAAACATTAAAGGCTTACATATAAATAACTGTCACTGAAATATTTTACATATAAATACAGATTCTAAAACATGGTTAACTATGCTAAAAATAAAAAAAGGTTATTGTACTGACTAAAAACTAGACATGTCAAATAACTCAGATATGTGAATAGCTTTTTTTCATTTACGAAATGATTCAGCTACGCATAGCTAGCTTACCATCTCAAACACGATTTATTTTGCTACTGTTACTTTACTGGAAAAATACTACCTAGCAATACAAAGTCAAGCAGTCCTTCAGAACTACTTAAAACTACATGCACTTGAACCTGAAAACACTTTAAAGGTGCCAACTCTCTGCTGTAGCTTTTAACCCCCTCCTTCAAGGATGCATCTTCCTACCTCCATGCACTATGGAGGAGATTACACCCTTGATGTTATTCACCTAGAAAAACATAAGCCACTTGAGGAGTGTGGGTGTGCTTGGTTTTGTTTCTTTTTGGTGGGTTAGTTCCGTTCTGTGTGTATATCCCCCACCCTTTTTAAGTACACTGAAATTACTAAAAGCTCTTCACAAGTCCTTCTAAACAGATGTCCTATGCATCACAGCTATAAACATCTATAACAACGTGCAGCCAAAAATCCTGTAAATCTTCATGATCTTGTAAAACAACTCGTAGTCTTAAATACTTGAATTTCTTGTCTAACTCATTTTTTGGAGGTAGGGAAGAAAAAAGGTGAAAACAGTACACAAATTTGGTTTTGGTGAAAAAGTTACATGTCTTTTTTTTCAGTATTCATCATTTCAGCTCTATGCTTTGAAGTTCAAAAGAAAAAACCTCTTATTACTGCTGTTCCTCACAGCAGGATTTATCAGCAAAATGAAGAAGAAAAGTAGGATCAATATAGTAGTCTTACTACTAGGGAAGTGTTGCAGTACAGTGCCAGAACAGTTCTTCATTAGCATCCTGGGCTGCATTAGGAGGAGTGCTGCCAACAGGTCGAGGGAGGTGATCCTTCCTCTCCACTCGGCACTGGTGAGACATCTGGAGTACTGGGTCCAGCTCTGGGCTCCCCAGTACAAGAGAGACATGGACATATTAGGGCAAGGCCAACTAAGGGCCATGAGGATGACTGAGGGCTTGGAACATCTGACATACAAGCAGAAGCTAAGAGTGCTAGGGCTGTTCAGCCTGGAGAAGAGAAGGCTCAGGGGGATCTTACCAGTGTGCATAAATACCTGATGAGGGGAGTAAAGAAGGCGGAGCCAGACTCTTCTCAGTGGTGCCCACTGAAAGCACAGAAGGCAATGGGCACAAATTGAAACACAGGAAATTCCACTTAAACATAAAAAAATGCTTTTTGCTGTGAGGGTGGTTGAACACTGGGTACAGGTCACCCAGAGATGTTTTGGAGTCTTCATTCCAGAAGATGCTCAAATCCCAGCTGTGCACAGTCCCTTCCAATCCCAGTGATTCTGCGATTCATTTTTTGCCACTGCAAAGTAAACTTTACTTCCTCATTTCTTCTTTTTATACCAGTGCTTGTTACAAACTAAAGTCATCTTATGGTCTTCAGAGCAGTGAAAATAACGTGTACAGGTTAAGTGCCACACTACTATAACTGACAGCTCTGAAAACCTACAGGAAAAAAAGAAGGCTACAAGAACATAAGAGAGGAAAGCTACATTCCCAGTTATTAGTTTTGCACAGAGCTTGTACTTTTTGTAAGAGAAGCTCTCAAGAGTATGTTACACAAACTAGCAATAAGAAGCTTTTTACAGTCTTCCCTCAGGAACTGCCGAATTAAAGCAGCAGGTGAAAATTACGTTAAGAACGTAATCCAAAAAAGATTAAAATTCCAGAAGTGGTAGAAGAGAGTTTCAAGAAACCAAAACCAAACACAGAAGAAAACAAAGTCACAGAAATAAAGGAGGGAGAAACAGAAACAACAAAAAAGGCATTCAGTACAAAGAAAGTCAGAAATCCCGAAAAACAGATCTGCCAAATTTCAAAATAGCTCCCTCTAAAAAAACTAGTAGCTCTCTCCCCTTCCTAGCCAAATGGATGTAGAATCTTACAAATACCTTGCTGTCCAAATTCAACATAAATATCAGCCTAAAATCTCCTAAATGAAATCCAGTAAACACAGTCTTATCCTGATGTTTCAATTTGTTCCTGCATCCAATGATAGTCAGAAATAACATTTTGGGTAATTATGCACAGTTGATAAATCCTAGAAGAAAGCAAGCACGGCTCATGCAAGAACTAGCTTGGTTCTGAAGCGAAAATCCTTCCAAGCACCACTGCAGCTAAAAATCAATGGAAGTAACTAATATTACAAAAGCAAGCTTAAGAAATGATCTTTACTCATTCAGTGAAAGTTTAGGTGCCCTGTCATTTCTTTAAGCACAGAAAATAAGATGCTATAGGTATAAGAAAAACATAGCACATGGGTACTGGCTCAAAAGCTGATATTCCTGTAACAGTGTGAAAACACTTAGCCTCTCTAAATACTTACAGTACACTCTTGCATCTCCTGTTCCTTAGTTGCCAGCCTCATCACCAGAATATTTTCTCTTCGGGCAGACTCTTGCTGTTGCTGTTTCAACTTCTCTTCAGATTCTCTCAATCCCGTCACATCATTAGCTAACACAAGTACAACACAAAAAGCACGTTTTGTAGCATCCCCTCATGAACAGTTTAAGACAACTACAAGAACGTGAAAATTAAATTCCTAAACAACAAAAGAGCTACATAAAGAAGCACAACTATAACAAGCATAAATAAGAAAAATCAAGCTATCATTAAGTATTAGAGAAGCTGGACAACAGTTAGTTCTAAATACATCTTTCTGATCCTTCCTTAAGACTTACTACACTTTTGAAAATGTTTCCATGTTTATACAGGAGATAACTTCCAAATTGCTTGCTTAACCAACCACTATTACAAATTGCAGTCTGAAACTTGGAAAGTTGGAACTGCCCTAGTACCTATATGAAATGTTGAGGCCAGGGTGAGGGAGGGGGGAAGTCTACACTTGCAAAAAAACCCCAGTAATCTGTAAAACAGTGCCATTTCTGGTCTATCCCCAAACTGGTCTCAATACTACCATAAGTAAACAGTGAGACATCAGAGAACTTCAGAAATGGCAGTTCAGTTGCAACTAGAAGAATTCTTCTGATCCACCAACATTTATAAAACACAAGATAAGGCATCACAGCACATTTCCAAATCACTCAAATGGGAACACGTGCAAGCAGCCCGACACAAACAGTATATGTTCACTCTGCTACTTGTCATTTATAAAATGACAGAAAGTTGGAATAATTAAAATCTGTAATTTTTCTAATTACTTGAGAGTGCTGGGCTGTAAATGTAACTAAGACCATCACAAATTGCTCCAGTACTATTATTCCTAAATAATTCTTTCCAGATAATAACACTGATTACTACAACCTGCACTAGAGTCTTCAGAATTGAGAAACAGACAGTGTTACAACTTATTTATGTTAGGACAGTTTGCGATTAGAATCAAATCAGCTGCTTATGTTTGCTGTATTTTAGCCTCTCCAAAACTCAAACATTATGGGGTTGCAGAAGAGGGATATAACAGAGAAGAGAGAGAACATCAGTTTGGACTGACAGAAAAAAACCCTTCAACTCGGTGGTACTCCTTTAAGTATTCAGACTGCAAACATACGCAGAAAACATGAAACAGCCTGTCTCTACCTGCGAACACCATTTTTAAAAGTGATTTAGGATTGGCGATGCAGTCAATTCCAGAACGTATGCAGCTTTTCTCATTTGAGTGTAGGATGTTTTTCCCATATTGTCTTTTGACAGACTGAAGTACAGACCAAGTTTTAAAGACCACATAAGATTGACAACCAAATATCTAATTTGCCTGATCAGTTCAAACACTACTTGGGGACCCATTTGAGACCTCTACCTCCACAAACTATTGCCCCTCCCACATGGTTTACAATCCTGTAAGACTACTGAAGGCACAAACATCATGGAGTAGTAACGGAAAAGTCCTGCAAATACACCTATTTGTGGGGTTATGTTTTGAGATCTTCTCCTCCCCCCCCAACCCCCAGCAGTCTGGGTACAGATGGTCCTACAGATGTAAAAACAGACTTCTTAGGTGCTGTGCAAGATTGCAAAGGAAAACAAGTGGCTGAGAAAGCTGGGAAAGGCTGAAAACTTACACTAGGAAAGAAAAACTGGGACCCTTTTTCTGACAAATAACTGACATATAGATTATTACCTCTTATTTCTAACTGTTTTAGAAAGCACGGACATTACTTGAACACTCTGCTTTATACAAACATTCAGGTAACTCACACCATTTTGAAACTTGGCTAACTTACAATTAAGGTCTGTGTACTTGCCCTCCAGAGCTTGCACGTATGCTTCATATTGTTTCCACCTATTGCAGAGAAGAAGAGAAAAAAAATTTCTGAAACTGTTTATTAAATCATCTCATTCCTAGATTTTCAGAGCACATGTTTAGACTATAATCAGAAAATGTCAAGAGGGAATTACACAACTGCATAAAAGACAATTCCGGTTTTACAAAAGGGGCTTCCAATCATGAAAATAGTTACATCCACCTCGCATCTCAAAAGGATAAAAAGGTAGCTGTGCATTGCAACACTTAAAATTGACATCTTAAAACTGACTATAATATTTTGGATAAACATTGGGTTCAAACACTTCTTAGTTATCTGTGTAAAGTACCTAAGATGCATCTCGTTCTCAAAGCAGAACAATTCAAACAAAATTGTGTAACAGAAACCAAAATACAAAGACAACATTAAGTCTGTTACGAAGTGAACAACAAGACAAGCAGAAGTGTATTACAATACACTTGAATTCCCAGCCTAGGTTAAGTAGTTATACCAGCTCATTCAAACCAAGACCATACTCCAATTACAATCCTCAACCAGAAGCCAAACAGTTTACTAACTCTTTGTAGGCATGTTATTTAAGCAATTCATCCACAGTCAGAAAACTTCACACTTAAAAACCGCATTGCATTCGATACAGACCATCAAATCAGTAGCAAGTAACAGTCTGCAGTAAAGCTTAGCATGACATGCCTTACCAAAGTTCACAGGATATTTTTTTTATTATGTTTTGTTTGTTTTTGAAGAAGTACTTTGCTTCTAACTATGTGTCTTCCTCACAATGGTAGAATTCTACATTATGAAACAAATTCATCTAATAGCTTACTACTACAGAAGCGGAAGGTTTCTGTTCTGTCCTCCCAACTACCCTTTCGCTTTACCATCTATTTCACACCAGACTCATCATAACTGCTCTATTTTAACTCCCTAACCTACACCACCACCTCAACCAAAACTATAAAACCTAACTCTGGAACATTTTTGACCTTTTAGTGAATTCAAATAGCTCATTAAAGGGTCTAAAAAGCATCAGGTCTGTAACAGCAAGCGAGATCACATCAATGGGAAAAACAAATGTAAGCACAAGATCTCTTCCTCCTAGCAGCAACAAAATTTTGCATCTCTTCAGCTGAAGATGAAATCAGCATGAATTATATAACTCTCTTGCACTCTGTTGAACAGAGTAGTTGTATTCCCACTTAACCCTTAAACTTCTCTCTCAGCTCTTGAACACTGTTAGAAACAATCACCATTTGACTACAAGAGTTCTAGGTTAGTTCAGGAGACTTCAATCCCCCCAAAGTAAAACTGAAACTGCCTACTACATAGCAAACTCAAAGAGAGAAACTAATTTCCACATGAAAGAACTACACTAAGTAAAACAGTTGGTTTTCAAATAGATATTTCTAAGTTACATCTCACAGCCTGAAAACAGTAATGCTGTCAAAATAGTCACACACACACACACACCCCATAATAGGAGTTATACAAAAAGCAAGTGAAAGGCAGACCTGAAACAAGTTAAGCAGACATGACAGACCATCACTGGAAAAAAAACACCCCACACATGTAGCCTACAGTCACCAAGAACATCAGAGGTAATACCCATAGGTCATCTCTCAATAACTGCTAGTTTTTAAGCAAGAACTGAAGTCCCAGAGAAGAAAATACAGAGTGCACTAGGCCATGCCACGGACTTTTCAATTCACAGGCCTGCCAACTCTTTCAGAAACACAACTATTCAGACGTAACATTTTTTCAAAAACCTGTTGAAGACCGTTGCAGTCCATCTTCAAACAAGGTCACAAATTTGTAGAGAACAAACTTGTGATCACCACACTGACATACTCAGAGAGAATTCAACAATCAAGCGAACAATTATAAAACTTGACCTTCTTCTATCGCAGCAGCTTTAATTTCACACACAGAGACTGTCTCAATTTTGCTACAGCTACAGAAGACCTCAGACGCAATTTTCTCTTCTAGCAATTGATCTGGTTTTCACCTCACTTCAGACAAACCAGAAAGCTAGCAACTAGCAAAGACAAAAATAAGAAGCAGGCTTATTTCATGCGATTAAAAAAAAAAAAAAATCATTAAAACAGACAAATAGACTAAAAGCATCAAAACAAAAAAAGAAATAATTAAAGTTTAAAAACATCCTCATTAACAAAGTAGACCATTCTTATAAATAACTTCGGCTCGGGAAAATAAGCAAATATATTAGTAGGCCCTTACTGAAAGGGGATCAATTCCTTTTCAATGAAATTTGCAGTTGTGTGTCTTCATCTGATGTGTATGTACTTCTGTAGTGACACAGATCTAAGTTCTTAAGTCTTCTCTTGTAGTAACTTCTGTTCAGTGCCTTTAATTTATTTTCCGAAATACTGCCTTCCCAGCTTATTTCACTCTGGTCTTTTCCCCTTGTTTACTGTAGTAGCATAGATCATTAACAGAAGGAATTAAAGCAGAATTCTGATTTTTGAAAAGCTGAAGTTACAAAGTTGTGGTTTCTGAAGTTATGCAAAAGAAAATAAAAAGCAAAACAAGGAACTATGACAGAATAAAGCATTTTAAAAAAACTAAGATGCTGAAGATCATTGACAGTATTTTTAGTGCTCCAACTCTGAACACTTAACTCCTTTTTTTATTCCTTCTTCTCTGTTTATTATGTCTACACTGATATGGGAGACCAGACGATCCTATGATCAAACAGGGCAGGTGTAAAACTCTATTTTTAGGTACCAAATAACTACATGAATGGTGTTTCGGTCTGTAATACCATTCTCTAAATGAACGATTCTCACATAAAATCTGGTTTTACCTGAACAATAAAAAAGCAGTATTTTCAGCTGCACCACTTCGGTCTTACATTGTACAACTGAATCTCCACGCACAACAGTTATCCTTCTACACTTTTTTAAGCAATACAGACTCCCAGCTGCTGACATGCAAGGCTGAGATGAGCCTGCATTCCCATTACATGAATCTCCCATGCCAAGTTTTCACACAGAGCTTGAAAGAGGTGACAAGGACAGCAAGTTTGTGGAATGCTGTAATGATGCCTTTGCTCAGTGATGGAATCTCAGCCACGTCACATTGAAACCAGACAGCAGAAGCTAAGGCTGACCTAGCAGTGGATGCAGCATCATCTAGAAATCCCAGCTACCAACCACAATTCAAGTACAGTCCAAGGGTTCAGAACTACAAGTGAACAAAAAAAAAAGTGTGCAAGTACAATCTGAAGCCTCCATTAGATCCTACTGCTATCAGAAACAGTCAGCTGATGGCTGTCACCACATGCCATAGAGTAGGCTTTTATCTCCGATTCAGTTAGAAACTTTAATGTAAACTGTATCCAGAAATACTGTACTTCTTTGCATAAAAGCACGCAACTTCCCCATAAGACACCAGAACACATTAAAGACCTCTGATAAATTATGAAAGTTTCTACATAAATAGCAATCCTAAAAACTACATACTTCAAACTTTCCAGCTAGCTCACATTACAGGCTCTTCAGAGAAGATTTTTGGCCCTAAATACATTCTAAAGTTCAGTAAAAGAAACCTTAAAAAAACCAAACCAGTAGCAATACAAAAATAAATATTTTTCTTGTGCTGTCACACCCTCCCATCCCCCCCTCCCATTAAAATCTGATGATTGCTGCTAGCACATCTTCAACTACAGTAGGAAAACCTTTCCTTCTGGAAAACTTTTCTGCCTTAGTCAAAGACGATATATCCTTTCTACCAGGTTTCATCTACACACAATACCTGCATTAGTTAACTTTAACCGACATAAGTAAAATCAACACTTACAGCAACGCAAATAATTGAGTTTTCAATTAACTTATTTAAGAATTTGTGCACACTTGCAAAAGTTTCTTTAAATAAACCAGTGATTTATAGGAACTCACTGGCTAGACCTTAAGTCTGACGGCTTTCTTCCCAAGATCCAAGAAAGAGATAGTTCTCTTCACACATGTAATGTAAGAGATGCACTGGCTACGCAAACCTGAGAGCTGCGTTGACCTCCTTGCCCCATACTGCTCCTCCTGGTACATCTGTGGAGAACTCTGGCAGCTCATCAGTGAACTCAAGCATGGAAAAAAGACAAAGGCTTAAAAGCCAGCTTTCTTCTCTCCAATTGGTTCTGTTTCACTCAGTATCCCCTTCTTGATCTGCTTAGTAGTTCATGTCAGTAATCTGATGGCTAAACAGCGACAACCTGAAGAGCTTCACTGAAGAGCTACTTGGAAAGCTACTAAAGAACAGACAGAGCTGTGCACAGAACTAGGAAGGCAGTCCCTCCATCAGATTTACATTCAAGAGGTTCCTTACAGCCTCACAAGAACTAGAAGGTAATTGAGCAGCATTATGTAGGTTATTTCATTTCCTTCGTTCTCTAAATACTACTACTCAGACTTTTTAAGACTCCATGGCTTCAAAATACCTCTGTAAAACACCACTACTTTTCTTGAAGCACCCATTTTTTATGCTGAGCTTTGGGGTTCACTTTTTCCAAGAAAAAACGATAAGCACTTAGGGGGTAGGGCACACAGACTATTGCACGTAAGCCATTCCAAAAGCAACTGGCTATATGTCCATGCTGATTGAAGTCCAGTAAAAGCATTGCATTTCCTCAGAACTGCTTGTTTAAATCAGGGTGCTTCAGTGTTTTACAGACTAACCACTACGCTAAAGGATCATGGCAATACTGATCAGATTTTCAGCTGTGATCCATAAAATGCTTTGTTACTGTGTCACTGGCTCTTCTTTCTTCACAGAAGCTGCTACATAGTCAAGCAAGTAGCTACTGCATCAAAAATGGGAGGGGAAAGATGAAGGAGATGAGTCCACAGCAAAAAGTAATGAGACAAGCAGAAATTCCCAAAAGGCTGGACTGAAAAGCTTCTTGTTGATTCTCCTCATATTTAATCAACAGAAATTAAAATGAGCAAATCTAAATTAGGTACTTTGTGGAAAAGAACAGTGAAATCGGCATTCACTGCACAGGAACTGACAAGAATGAATTAGTATTTTCTATGTATGTATTCTATCAGTGCAATTGTACAGCAATGATGATATATTACCTAAAAGACCAAAAGCAGATGACACATGCCTGTATCTTAAAAAGCATTTGCCCCAAAGCGTGGACCAAAAAAATGCATTCTAAATCTCAATTTAAGACAATCCAGTAGCGGTCAACACACGGTTTTCTATGACTGACAGTAGTAGAGATGCCTTTAATTAAAACATGACATACATGTCATAGTGTTCTATTTTTATTCCAGCCTACAAAGCCAGCAGTTAGTGTAGTAACTGCAAGTTTTACATGAAATCACAATTAAAGGTGAACTTACTATACATCCATTAAATATGCACCCATTAAAAGAAAAAACAACAGTGCTCATAGGACTGTTTAAGGCAAACAAATAAGATGGACATGGCCAAAACGGCATTTAAGGTTTCCAATTCTGAGTATGACGGACAATTATTCTCCTTAAATCCATCCAGTGGCCTTTCTGAGCGCAGAAGTTGCTTTGTCTACACTAAGAAGATGACTTGATAATAACACAGCTGTCATTAGCAAATTCCCTCCTGTCTCTTCATTAACAGTTTAGCTGCTGACATATTTTATCTCCTGAGGCGTATTCCATCACAGGAATATATGCTGGAAATGATCTCTTCTACAGCAGTAACTAATCATTGCAAGTTACAGAAACTGGTTACAGTTGGAAGTCTTTTTTTGTTTTCACACTATCAATCAGAAAGCAAGTTGCACAGAACCTATGCTTTGACAGGAAATTTATAGATGGAAGCAAGGGCATGGCTCTGCTGACTCAGGAGTTCACTATTTCTGCGGATAATCTTGACTACAGAAACTTCTATAAATACGTTCACAAGGCCTAAACCACTTAACATCAAAGAAGCATTTCTGCCTACTGTTTAAACACATTATCCTTTACTACCCAAAAGACCAGATACTCAGAGGAAGCCAGAACCCAGGTTTACACATATGAAGCCAGATTAAGTTGACTCCCCCTGGAAAGAACTGTCACTCCAGAAGTAGCTGGCAGGACAGTTTGCCCGGAAGAGGGAGCAGCTGATCTATACATTCAGTGCATCCTCATGTTTCCACACAGTTCAGTCTTTGTTCTATGGAACAGCAATACTTGAGGGACCCTAATAATACTAATAACTTACAGCATACAAAAAGCCAAGAGCTAAAGTTTACCAAAATGCTCACACAAACTTACTCTAGCAGATAAACAGATGACCCACAGATCCCTAGTTCAGTTAGCTCCTTTTTTACAAATCAGGACATTCAGGTATGCAGAGGCAAGTGGCTTGGGCTGGTTTCTGTAAGCAGGTAGTCTGCATGACAGGATTGCCTATCATTTTTTCCATGGTTAACACTTAGCTTTCTAAAAGCTGAAAAAGATAGCCAGGCTCTTCTTTATGCAAGTCCTAGGCAATGAAAGCTTCCTTTTAACATTGTACTGTCAATATCTGAACATGCCGAGAAGAACGCATGGACTATGAAAACCTAAAACTTACTGTGGGTGTTAGGAGTTGACATTTTTCTGATGCTTAAAAATAACTTGCTATCTAGCAAGGAATGTTAAGCAAGCGTATCTTCTAGAGTTACAAGTGAAAAAAAACCCTCCTACTCATGTATTACAAAATATTGTTCAGCATTTTGTCTCTTTGAAAAAAGTGTTTCCTCCCAAACTATATATAAAAATATTTGAGACAAGAACTTTAAAAGATATGTATCATGAAAAGGATAAAATAGTTGTTCAGAACAAGGATGCTAAAAACAACGGAAGAGGGAGGTCACACATCTTCCATTGAAAGTTCACAAAAACGATGAAGTGGAAAAACTGCTTTTTACTTTACCTTAAGATGAGCTCATCTCTAGGTAAAACCTTAAAATCTGCTTCGCTAAGGCGAACCTAGGGAGCAAAAGGAAAAGCACAACTTATCAAGCTGTCCTGATCACCTAGGGGCAGGGGGAAGTCACAAGTATTTTTAAACATACCTTCTTTGGGAGAGGTTCTTCATTCGTCATTGTGAACTCTGAAGGGGGAGAAAAAAAAAAGCTTTATTTAGTGTAGTTACTAGTGTACATGAAATACTGACAAAGTCAGAAACGTGCACTTCTAGCCATATTTTTTTAATTTGCAATATTAGACTACTGAAATATTGGTTCTACACAATGCAGAGCCAGAGTACAAAACAACACTATGACAAGTTTGCTGCTGTAATCTAGATAAAAAGTCAACAGATGCATTTTTTCCTAAAAGGTAATCACAACTTTCTTTAGATGTCAAAAAAAAACCTATTAGTAATCAATGCTTCCTATTTAATTAGGCAAACCCATCCAACTTTGTCCATATCTGTTTAGGTCATACTGTCATTTCTGATGTGCCTACATCTATTTAACATTACATTTAACAAGGCAGAAAATAATCAGGGTCTGAGGAAAGCAATTTATACTACTACTTCAGTATCTCTTTGGAATAAAAGTAAATCAGTTGTGAACATTATTATGAATGTTTGGGTTCTATCAAAACAACATGTTCTTCCAAGTACTTATTCTCTTAAGATTCTGATAAACAGCAAGTATTACACAGTTATTTCAAAACCCTCATTAATGATTTTAGGAAAAGATGTCAAATAAATGGCTTGGATACACCATCAAACTCAATTCCTCTTGTGTGTATGTAGCACAATAGGATTGCATTGTGCTAGGTTAAATAGTCACACTTCCTTGGGTTACAGGACATGCTTCCTTACCTCAAGACAATAATACGTATTTTCTACAACTATGTTTATATAAAAAAAAAAATCAGTCCACAAATATTATAAGCATACAAATGACAACAAACGCAAGGTTTGCTAGAGGCATGCACCTATGCAATATGCTTTCCAACAGAGAAGCTGCATATAATGTTAAGATTTGACAAGCTTGTAAAGCTGCTGTGACGCACATGTAGCAGGAAAAGGATGTCTCAACTCTTTGGTTGTGAACACTTAGATCCACAAAAAAGTGCTCTTCAGCAGCAAAAAAAATATTTTATTTTCTCAAAAAGACTTTTACAGACTACCTTATTGTATTCTCACAACACCACCCAAGGAATTAATTTAACTTTTCCAAATCTTAAGACAATCAAATCCTAAAATTGCTCATCAATAAGACAAACACATGCCAAATGAACTAAAGGCTCTTCAACCTACAGTACGCACTGACAAATACACCGCACTCTACCAAACAAGGCCCTGGTATTTAAAAAAAAAAAACCAAACAAAAAACCACCACACAAAACACACCACCGCAAAGCACCACCCTCCCAGCCCCCGAAACTACTAAAAAACCTCACACCAAGTACAGTGCACAGATGAAACAACTTCCAAGCCTTTCATAAAGTAAAAACTAACATTAGAACCCACAGAAAGGTTTCCAAAAACATTCAGTAGAAGCAGCCCACTGATGAATGACAGCTTCCTGTCCCTAGCCTTACAACTCACAGCCACTGAAGTGCTTCCATACCCTAAGAGGTCCCCCCATCTCCACCACCTTCCCTCTCGCACACACAAAGTTACTCCAGCATTTTCATTTAACTTCCCGATGCAGTTCCTTATCTGAGACTGTTTTACCGAAAACGTACCTTAAATATATTCCAGCATAAGAGACTTGATACGAACCGCCAGTGCTCAACTCAGTCATCCAAAACAACACAGCATAAGTTGAGATCACAGGTGGAATGCTCCTGACCCCTGTGTTTAGGTTGCCTACCTCTCCCCCTATAGCGCTCCTAAAGATTTTTACAATCTTTTAACTCCTTCAGTGTTCAAAAGTAGTCTTGAAGATCTCAGAAAGATTTAAGCCCTCAGCAGAGAGAAAAATGCTTTTCAGACATCCCACAGGACTACAGCTAACACCAATTAAACTGTGCACAGATGATGCCAAGTCATTATTCACGTGGTCCTCAGAAAAGTACCAGAAGCACACAAATATCCAAAAAGAGGAGTTCCCCAAAGAATCGGCTTCTGAACCCTGCAGCAGCAGACAACAATTATAAACACTTGATTGTTACCACAGTCATCACTGCAAGAAATCAAAGGCCGATGCTCCATCTTCCCCAGACCTTGTGCAAGGTTCCAGCACTCAGGTCTCTACAGCAGCACCAGACCTGGCTACTCCAGCCTCTACACCCAGCACATCACCATTCACAAAGCCATCTCTTCCTTCCAGAGAAGAGCAGGAAAGTGCTGAAGACTGAGGTTACAGGCCACCGCACTTCAGAAGTTACTGTCTTACCGCCACCTACTATCACTTGGAGTGACAGAACCATACACTTCAAAAAACACACAAGCAAAAAATATTCTACAGATTATTTTGGAAAAGCTAGGTTGATCACATCTACAGATAAACACTAGTGCTCTTCCCGTATGCGTGAATTTCACCTCACTACTCACATGCAACAGGTTTTTTTGGCACCTACAGTAACTTCCCAAGAGCTCAGAGATTTATTACTGCTATATATTTCTACCATTGTGCTCAGTGTTCTTCAGAAACGTTAAGAGCATCAGGCTGACTACATCAGTTGTCACAGTGACCTCCCTTAGCTTTCTGTTCATTAACACATGAATTGGTATGCTACAGACAATAACATTACAACTGAAACATTCATTTAATACCGTAACTTTTCAAGTACTGTGCAGCAAGAGCTGCTTCTCGTCTCTTGTCTCTCCTCTGAAAGACAGGATCTCTCTCCTACGCGTATCACAGATATTTTGCAAGAGCACGATGAAGTGCCACTTTCTACAACAAAAAGAATCAACAAAAACAAAACTCCCGTGTAACTGACTGGAATTAATACAATTATACTTTATTATTTATATGATCAATAGCTTAACGACGGCTGCTACGTGCCACTCCTGCTGCCTTATCTGCTCCTGGCAACCAGCAACATAAAACCATAGTCCACACTTAAAATAACGTGGTCACAGGCACTGAATGAATTTTTATGTAATCTCATCAAGCTTTGAGGTTTTAATGACAATTTAAATATGAAGAGAGTTGAAATGTGGAAAGTGCACTTTAATTTGGGGAAATCCAGTAGTCTGGACACCTTTTACTGCAACGGTTAGAAACCATGGGATGTAAGGATTAAAAAAAAAAAAAACAACTAAGAAACAAAGTAATTCAATAACACCAGGTAAGCTGCTTTACTAGTTACTCCTGAGGTAACTGCCAGTTATTTTAACGATATGAAAAAGAGCTCCGCGGGGAAAACCCCGGCACAGGCTCCAGGCTCCCGAAATA